TTTTGCTTTCTATCCTCCCACATAGAGGCAGGTACAGTCTTAGCCTGTGTATTTATCTAGCCAGAAGTAGCAGATGGATTGGTTGGTTGCTTAATGATGTTGCTTGGATTTTGTGAACATAGAAGATTTATGTGGTCACTTTCAACCTCCTTAAAGTGGAACTACACTGTATCTGAGCACCACAAACCAAATGTGCTATTTAATTCATTTTTAATATTCAAAGCAAAACCATCCCATCCAATCATGTCTCCATGCTTTATTTTGCTGAGGAATCCCTTAGAAAAATACCCCCTAGCATATTTGCCAGTGGCCATCTTGAGTAAGGGAAGATTATTCATGTAGCATTTACTTCTTGGAATCCATCTGCCCTTAACTCATGCATGCATGCAGGTTGGTGTGCTTAGCTTAGAAAGCCCCTCCTCCCCTCCTGAAGACTGCTGGGATGTGTTGCATCATTTGTCTAGGCATGGAAACCAGGAAGTAACTAAAGAAATGTAAAAAAAAGTTTAAAACAAGTAAATATGATATACGTTCTTATCTATTTACTAATACTAGCAGCATAAGAATTCAAAAGTCAATATTGATTGAGAGAGTGAATTTCCACTTTAACAAGCATAGAATGCCTTGAACTGAGCAACTGACTCAGGTGGGAAGGCACATAGACTGGTTAACTGACAGGGTTTAGGACTGGCCAGCTTTAGTGGTGGGGATGTGGTTTTAGTAAGAATGGAGGAAGCAAAGTTAAAAGGTACCTATCTGTAACAAGAAATGTAGGCAGTCCCTCTCACCCATTATATCTATGCAAAACGGTTAGAGTTTACTAAAGAGTTGGGTTGATTTATCAGTTTTGCTAACGGAACTTTATTTGGGAAAGAGGTTTTGTCACAGAAGGATTGGTCAGTCCTTGATGGTGTCAAAGGAAGGACTATTTAAGAAATAAGATTTTAGTAACGCTTGATTTAGGGTCAATGTTCATCAATTTATTATGCAACTGATATGAGGGTTAACTTCAAGCTGCTCTTCAATCTACCAAATGGCATTTTATAAGGGATCCTTGGAAGAATGATCATAATATCGTGGGAAACAAAGAATGTTATTCAGACAGGGCTGAGCAACCAAAAATATTCACTCAAAACCTGGTAATGTGCCCACTGAGCTAGTTACATGAGGCTAGTGGTTGGTACGGGCCCTCAGCATACTTTAGGGACATTGTTAAGGTTCTGCTTTACTGTGGTAATGCTGTAGCTTTGAGTTAAAGTGTTACTAAACCAACAGCAGTAAAATCAGTTTGTATATGCAGTAAAGCATGCTTGTTGTACGCACTGTGGAACCTAAGGGGTTAATCCCCTGCATTGTGTAAAAAAGCTGTTTGATCCTTTTCTCTCTGCCTCTCCTCTTGTTCAAATGCCCATGCTGATGAACCCATGCCATTCTACACATGCTTACTTTAGTGTGTATTGCTAGAGAGATTTGTTTTTTTTCTTCGGAGAGTGCATGTGATCAGCACAGAGCCAGTCAGCGCTGTCCAGACCAAGGTCAGGGGTTCTGCATCCTCCTAGAGAAAACTCCTCCTACAAGCTTTAACCAGTGCTCAGCTGAAGTCACAAGACTGCTCTAACTACTGTTGAGAATAAGTATTTAGCAATTTTTATTTACTTAAAATAATTGCACTTCCATGTTGTGTGTACTGTGGGAGACCAGATATAGGGTCCTGGGTTTAGTAACACTTTAAGGTTATTTAATGTCATCAATGTTTAACTACAGAATGTGTGTAATGTAATTGTTCTGAAAAGGTTATTAAAGCTGTGGTTTTTTCATTTTCCAACATTACCAGATTTTAGTGAATGTATTTGGTTGCTCAGCCCTGTCTGAGTCACATTGTTTGTTTGAATACTCAAGGCTGCTGATACTATACACCTGCAAGGCATATGAGCACTGGCCTGGAGGTCAATAATAAAATTTGCCAATGGAGAAACAACAAGATATGAAAGGTTCAGTAACCCTATCTACACCAAGGCAGTGGAGTGAATAATTGAGGACTCATATTCTAGCATTCTGGATGTAATTATGGTCCCTGGCTGGCCTAAGGAGCATTTCCATCTCAAGAACAGCAAACAACTGGAAGATGAGAACAGAAATCTGCAACTGGAGGACCAGCAGAGTAAGTGATATTTTGTTGTCAGGACAGTAATGTGGATGATGTAACTGAACAGGGGTGCCACTATGAATCACGTGGTCATCAAACAAAATTTTGGTGGGACTTCCTACAACCTCTCTGTGCTGCACACACTTTACATTGATAATCTTTAGCTTGTATTACACTCCTGATAAAAGCCACTTTTGCCTATATACTGAGTATTATATAATACAGTATATAATATATTTAGAGATGAGCGAATCGAACATGACGAAGTGGAATTCGTTCCGAAGATTTGGAAACATTCTATTCGCGACGAATCCAAAGATTAGCAAACTTCGGATGCACGAATCGAATTTTCCCAAAAATGGCGGCGACATGTGTGGCGACGGAGAAAATGGACAGAGAAGATGGGGCGGGGATCTCTGGGAAGGCGCGCAGACAAGGCGCGCTGACCCATAATGCATTCATGACATGTGATCGCATTAGCCAATCAGCAGCCAGCCAGCACTGTGTAATGGTGGAGCTATAAATCGCGGCCATCTTAGAATTCTCCATTAGCCGTAATCTGCCATGGGCCCCCGTACCGACTCCTCATGCTGCTGCCAGGCCCGTAATCTGTCATGGGCCCCTGTACCGCCTCCTCATGCTGCTGCCAGGTCCAGAGTGTGTCATGGGTCCCTGTACGGCCTCCCATTGCTGCTGTCTCCATCGCCACACTCTGCCATGTGCCACTTTCAGGTCTCCTCACACTGCTGGTGGGTTCCATTTTGTCATAGGGTGCTGTATGGCCTCCCATTGCTGCTGCCTCCACTGCCACACTGTGGCTCCACACTCTGGTTTTGGCCCCGTGACTGCCCAAATGAGTGAAGTGTGCGGTGATTCTAAGATCGACGGCACTCATCTGCATGTCATACTGACTGACAGTATTATTTCTCTTCCCCAGCAGACTCCAAGGGCATTTAAATTAAAGGTACAGTGTTCTGCACTAATATAAAGGCTCTCTGAAGCCTAGAAACACCCTTTTTATAAGTTAAATTCGCAGCGAATATATTCGGCTTGAAGCAAATTTATTCGGCGAATTCGGCGAATCAGCCGAACTGAATTTTTGAATAATTCGCTCATCTCTAAATATATTACATCACTGATAAAAGCTTCCTTTTATGTTAGTAATATTGGTTTACTGATAATTTAATACTAATTACTGAAACAGCACATTTTCCACATGAACACATCAAACACGTTAACATCATCTGTCTGAGATGTGCTGAAGTGTAGATGTTCTTGAGTGAAGTCTCGTAATTGCTAATTACAAAGTATCTTTGGCTTTTAGTGCAAATAATCAGAAATCTGTCAAATGCTTTTAAAAATGAATTAAAATGAATGTGCAGAACTCATAAAAGTGGTAAAAACATGCAATTACAATTTGTAAATTATTCTCAGTGCCTCAACTATAAGGTTGGATTTAGAAATTGTGTATGTTAATCCCACACCACCAAATCAATGTTCTTATTCTATTTTTTCTCAATATGGGTGGCTGCTCGCAACAAAACATGTTCCCACCGGAAAATCATTATTTTAATATGTGCATTGCTGCGCCTCCCTGAGTGTCAACAAAAGCCTCCCAATTTAAATACAAAACTAAAGAAAAATATTCATTAGTGAAAGTGCTTATTATTTCAAAGTGCAAACACATAAAATTAATAAAATCAACAAAATCTAAATCACATGAATCACATTCAAGAGATATAAACAAATAAAGTGCTCATACTAAGGTGCATATATCACTTATGAAAACAAACCTCCATATATCTGTGCATTAATCTTATATTTTCTTATAAGGGCCATGTGCTCTTTCAAAACCATGCATATGTGGGTGATCCTCCACCATTCAAATCCGCGCTCACCTCCACTCTGCGACCTGCCCTCTTACAGGTCAATATGCGGGGGGTGTACTGCGGGCACCCAGACAAGTACAATTAGGTAGCAGCCACAATACGCTGTGGCAAAATTGCACTAGCAAATTACTGTGAAAAACTTTACCATTACTGGTAGAACAAAAACTATTCCCTGTAATCAAGTGGAAAAAGGAAAAGCAACCCAACTCATCACATTTAAAATTGCCCTGAAGTAGATGAAATCAATTGGTGGGGATAAGGTCCTGCCCGGAGAAGGTTCCCTTCTAGAAATAATGTTAACACCCTTGTTCACGATTTTGGAACAAATATTGTCATTGTATAAAATCGGTAAATATTTATTGACTATATTGTTTATTTGTCCAAATTCTGAGCTGTAAGACAAAACCAAAGAAGGATGACTACATTTATCTTATTGTTTTTTACTAGTAGCTCTAAGTATTTCTGATCTATATTTTTGTTTTTCAATACCATAGGCTCTATCAAGAGCCCACTTAGGATGTCCTTGCTCTTTAAACCGTTGAAACAAAGAAACAAAGATCGTGATTCCCGTTCAAAATCTGAATTATCACTACATACCTTCCTGTCTGCACCATACACAATAAGGGTTTTAGGTAGCCCTGCTTATTATTCCAGTTCCAAAATTTATATACAGTATCTGTGATTTGTTCTGGTACGATGCATATCAGAGGTGCGTTCTCATTTCTGTCAATATATGTGTCAGGACAGAGGAGCAGTAGACACGTTTCAGACGAACATGTGCCTAGTCATTACTGATTTTCATTTGTCAGAGGAAGCTTTAAACAGAATATAACAGCTTATGATAATTGGCAATTAAACATGAATCAGGAATAGCATAGTATACAAATCACATGACACAACTTTAAAAACATGACACATATACTGACAGAAATGAAAACGCACCTCCAGGGGAGGACTGACAACTCATGGGGCCCCCGGGCAATAGGGGTCATGGGGCCCCTGTGTCCTTGCCCAAACTCAAAAAAGCCTATGAAAAAGGTACCAGGGGCATCTTATGGGCCCCCCTACTGACCCCGGGCCCTCGGGCAGTGCCCTAGTTTCCAAATGGTCAGCCCGCCCCTGCCCACAAGTCACAGATATATAAACTTTGGAACTGGCATAATAAGCAGGGATACATAAAACCATTATTGTGTATGATGCAGACAGGAAGGAAGAAGAGGGGAAAAAAAACAACCCTAAATATAATAATGAAAATTAAATGGAATAAATAAAAATAAAATCGACTCTACTCATAAAAATGAGGAACATCCCACTCGGCATTCAGCCCTTGAGGGATACGTGTCTACAAATAAAAAATCAAAAAAACCTCCCGTTTGCACAGAACACAAATGGTGTCACCCCCTTCTAGCAGAAGTCTTAGACCTTTCTACCACTTGGATGCCAACTATGGAACAATCACTACCATGTAAAGAGTTGAAATGTCTAGATACATTGGTGGAACGATTGTTCCTCACATCACCCAGATGTTCACGAAACCTATCCTTCAGCTTTCTGCTCATTCATCCTACATATTGTGTATGACAAGCAAGGCAGGTGATGAGATAAATTACATATTTGGTGTTACAACTAAAAAAAAAAAAATGTAATGTGAAAAACCTTTCTATTACTGATAGGACAAAAACTATTCCCTGTAATCATGTGGGAACAGGACAAGCAATCTAATGCACCACATTTAAAATTGCCCTGAAAGTGGAGCCAAGAAGTAGATGAAATCGATGTTGGATTGAAAAAACTTGGGAATAAGGTCCTGCCCAGAGAAGGTGTCCTTTTGGATATAATGTTAATACCCTTGTTCAGGATTTTGGAACAAATATTGTCATTGTATAAAATTGGTAAATATTTATTGACTATATTGTTTATTTGTCCAAATTCTGAACTGTAAGACAAAACCAAAGAAGGACGACTAAATTTATCTGATTGTTTTTTCCTAGTAGCTCTAAGTATTTCTGATCTATCTTTTTGTTTTTCAATACCATAAGCTCTATCAAGAGCCCACTTAGGATGTCCTCTCGCTCTATAAACCGATGAAACAAAGATTGTGATTCCCATTCAAAATCTGAAGTATCACTACATATACCTCGTAGGCGCAAAAAACTGTCCCACTGGTATTCCTTTAGTGATATGTCTGGGGTGGCTTGATTGTGCTAAAAGGAGATTGTTATCTTCCTGTCTGCACTGTACACAATAACGGTTTTATGTATCCCTGCTTATTATTCCAGTTCCAAAATTTATATACAGTATCTGTGATTTGTTTTAGGTACGACGCATATCAGAGGTGCGTTTTCAATCCTGTCAGTATATGTGTCATGTTTTTAAAATTATGTCATGTGATTTGTATACTATGGTATTACTGATTCAAGTTTAATTGCCAATTGTCATCAGCTGCTATATTCTGTTCAAAGCTTCCTCTGACAAGTGAAAATCAGTAATGACTAAGCATGTGTTTGTGTGAAACGCGCCTACTGCTCCTCTGTCCTGTCTTGGAGCTGTCATGTTCTTATCACATTGCATACTGTATAAATGATCCAATAAAGGATTTAATCCACCACATTACTGTTTGTGCGGCCAACCATTCTGTTTTTCCATTGTCTGCGAAAATACCTTGCTTGGCTCCCCCTATAGTCTCCAGGACTCCAGTGCAGTTAGATTCCCACCACTGCTGCCCACCGCTCTCAAGGTTATTGGTTGTTAGGACTGCCTGGCATCTAGCAAGCAATGAAATCCCTGCCCAGGCCTCAGCATTCAATTGAATATTTCCTCTGCCTTCTAGTGTTCCACCTTCCAGCTTCTTCACTGCTGAGAATGGCATCCTGAGATGAGGAGTAGCCAAGACACGGATGTAAGGGTATAGTGGGGACAGTGATGTAAGGGGGGAGTACAGACACTGAAGTAAGGAGGAGTACTGAGGTAAGGTGGAGTGGGGACACCGGTGTAATAATGATGTAAAGTTAGAACACTGATGCAAGGTGGGACATTGATGTACAAAGGAGTAGGGGTAGTCATATAAGGGGTGACTCTGATATAGGTAGTGTACTTTGATGTAAGGGGGAAATCTGCAGACTCTGATGTAAGGGGGCTTTGGGAACTTTATTAAAATGGGTAGTGCTAGGGGACTCTGATGTAAGGTGGACTCTAGGAACCTTGATGTAAGGGGGGATTCTGGGGACTCTGATGAAAGGGGGGACTCTGGGGAATTTCATGTAACATGGGACTGTGTGCATTCTAGTGCTCCAGGTCTCATATTAATGATCAGGAACTGAGAGGTCTGGTTTCCGATCACCTGATCTCTGTAATAGCCCTTGATTGGTTATCATAGTGATCAGTCAATGTACAGCTTTTGACATTCCTTGGCCACATTAGAAGAAGAGGAATTGTCTTGGTCCACACATAAAATATATTAACAATAAGGACAGCTGATAAGCAGAAAAAGTCAGGCAGATCACAAGTTAACGATTACTGATATAGATAATGTACCTATCTGAGTAATAAAACCTCATTTTTTAGTATTTTTTTTTTTTATTACAAAAGTAAAAGAGGGCAAAATAAAACTAGTGTGATATTTGACACCGTTTTTGATAAACCAATGCATCAATATCTGGTTCAATTGATGAGCACCTTGAGAATTCATTGAAAATTGCTACTATATCTGATATTTTGGTTCTAATTTTGCCCTTTGTGTGCCTCATGCTTCAAAATAGTTGCTCACAAATATAGGTGCTGCAAAAAAAACTGATGACATGAATAAGGTATGATTTTGAAGATTGGGATATTTTGTATATGGGAAGAAAAAAAAATGTCATTACATCTTTAAGGGCCAATTAAAAATTTTTATATATATATATATATATATATATATATATATATATATATATATATATATATAATTATTATATTGTCAAAAGCATTGGGATGCCTGCATTTACACACACATGAACTTTAATGGCATCCCTGTCTTAGTCCATAGGGTTCAATATTGAGTTTAACCAGCCTTTGCAACCATAACAGCTTCATCTCTTCTGGGAAAGCTATTCACAAGGTGTAGGAGTGTGTCTATGGGAATGTTTGACCATTCTTCCAGAAGCACATTTGTGAGGTCAGGCACTGATGTCGGACGAGAAGGCCTGGCTCGCAGTCTCCGCTCTAATTCATCCCAAAGATTTCCTATCAGGTTGAGGTCAGGACTCTGTTCAGGCCAGTCAAGTTCCTCCACCACAAACTCGCTCATCCATGTCTTTATGGACCTTGCTTTGTGCACTGGTGCACAGTCATGTTGGAACAGGAAAAGCCCATCCCCAAACTGTTCCCACAAACAAGGGTGCATGAAATTGTCCAAAATGTCTAGCTATGCTGATGCCTTAAGAGTTCCCTTCTCTGGAACTAAGGGGCCAAGCCCAACTCCTGAAAACAACCCCACACCATAATACTACCTCCACCAAACTTTACACTTGACACAATGCAGTCAGGCAAGTACCGTTCTCCTGGCAACCACCAAACCCAGACAAGTATTTCGGATTGCCAGACAGAGAAGCGTGATTCGTCACTCCAGAGAATGAATCTCCACTGCTCTAGAGTCCAGTGCCAGTGAGCTTTACACCACTGCATCCAAAGCTTTGCATTGGACCTGCTGACATAAGGCTTGGATGCAGCTGCTTGGCCATGGAAACCCATTCCATGAAGCTCTCTACGCGCTGATGTTGTACTAATCTGAAGGCCACACGAAGTTTGGAGGTCTTTAGCTATTGACAGTTGGCAACTTCTGCACTTTGTGTTCTTCAGCATGCGCGTACCCCGCTGTGTCATTTTACGTGGCCTATCACTTTGTGGCTGAGTTGCTGTTGTTCCCAGTTGCTTCCACTTTGTTATAATACCACTAACAGTTGACCGGGGAATATTTAGTAGCAAGGAAATGTCAGAGATGGACCTATTACACAGGTGACAACCTATCACGGTACCACGCTTGAATTCACTGAGCCCCTGAGAGCGACCTACTCTTTCACAAATATTTGTAGAAGCAGTCTGCATGCCTAGGTGCTTGATTTTATACACCTGTAGCCATGGAGGTGATTGGAACACCTGAATCCAATGATTTGGAGGGGCTATGTGCCATTAGTATATTCATTTTACACATATACATTGTATAATGAATTAATGATTGTACTTTTTATACTATACTTATGGGTAAGATTTACTTATGAGCTATGGGTAAGATTTACACAAGAAAGACCAGTTGCCAAAACTTGATGACAACAAGAGTTAATTTTATATGGTATTAATATATAAAAGTGGTGTACTGATTTTCCTTTCAGAATCCCTTCAGCCATCCGCTTTCCGTCCGCTCTATAGCAGTAGTACTGCTACAGGGCGGCAGGGGTGCACAAAATCACATATATTTCTAGGTAGGGGGCGCTCTGCCTTGGCTGTCAATGACCGGGTCCCAACAGGTGATTACTCTCTGGCACCCGGTGATCGAGAAGCATTACAAACAGAGGGAGAGAACTGTAAGTAAACAATACAGCATTTTTGGAACATGTTTGTTCACTTAAAAAAAGCCTCACCAAAAAATGCACCTCCCCATCAAAATCAATGGAAAACGCTGCAAAAATGCCTCAAAAATGCTCTCAAGATGCATTTTTGGTGCAGTTTTTGAGTCACATGCCCCTTAAAAAACACACCACTAGCCCTTAAGATGAGAGTCTGTAGAAATGTTTGAGATCATGTCCAGTGTCAATTATAATTTCAATTGCTGCTAAGTTTAAGATTAAAATCTACATATAGCCACTAAACTGTCTAGTTGCCAGGGTAATGAAGAAGATAATCCTCCCCAAAATGTGTTTCCTAAGAGCAGTGATCTTGTAGATGACAAAAGGGAGTCCATGAGAGGAAGAGATGTATGAATGTCAGAGAAGAGTATGCACTCCAATGCTGGCATGCACCCCATAGATTAGATCCACAGCCCCATCTCTATCTGATACCTATGG